CGCTTTGTACTGTACCTTCTACCATATATATGGTAAAAACATACTATTGCTACTATTACTACTACTTCTACTACAACTACTACCAATACTACTACTATTACAACTACTACTACTAGAGCTACAACTACAACTACTATTTTATTACTACTACTAGTATACATTCATATACAAACATATTAACCACAAACAGAAAACTAAACTAAAAAAAAACTCCCAAAGAAAACACGGAAATATTCCAAAAATGGAAATCCAAAAAAACTGAAAATCATCCCAAAAAATGCGAAAAACCGACAAAACAACTATAAAATTTAAAAAAAAATTTTGGAAATACCCAGAATTCACTAACCTGTTAATGGCAGAACGAATGAATATCTCTTAGTGGCGAGTAGGTTTTTGATTCCAGGGAGATGATCGATGTAGCAGTTGGTGTCGGCAACCAGGATGGAGGGATGGATCTCTAGGAGGAGGTCCCGATGGTGGCTGTTCAGGTCCCTAGCTAGGAGTTCTTTCATCTGGTTCTGTCGTTTTGTTTGGTTGAATGGTTGGTTGAATGGTTGGTTGATTGGTTGGTTGTTGTCAATCTATCAGCCAGCCAGCCAGCCAGCCAATCGATCGATCAATCGATCGATCAATCGATCGATCAATCAATCGATCAATCAATCGATCAATCAATCGATCAATCAATCGATCAATCAATCGATCAATCAATCGATCAATCAATCGATCAATCAATCGATCAATCAATCAATCAATCAATCAATCAATCAATCAATCAGTCATCGACTAAACAACCAACCAAATCAATTAATCACTCAATCAACCGGCTAACCTGCTGAGTTAACTTCCTGTTAAGTTCGTCCTTTTCCTCTTTCAACTTTCTAATCATGACGTCATCGTCACTATTAATATTATTGTTGTTGTTGCTATTATTATTATTATTATTACTATTAATGCTATCACCGGTGACGTCATTATCGTCAATATTGTAATCGGTGGACAGTACCAAAACGTCATCATCGTCGTCGTCATCGCCATCATCGTACTCATCATCATCCTCATCATCATAATCAAGGTTATTTATAGTTTTATTATTTTTACTACGTCTTTCATTATTATTATTATTATTATTATTATTATTATCATTATTGTTATTATTATTATTATTATTGCCCTTTAGTGACTGGCTATTTTTCTTAACTGGCGATTCAATGGGCTCTCTCAAAAATGTGTAAACTCTGACGTCATGGCCATTGCCATTACTATTGTTATTATTATTATTATTATTACTATTATTATTATTATTATTATTATTATTATTATTATTATCGCTATCATACTGTACCATCTTCATCTTCGTCATCGTTGCCAGCATTCTAGTCGAGGATTGTTTTATTCTAGAGAGTCTGGCTATCATCATCTGTATTTCCTGTTTGGAGAAAGAGAGAGAGAGGAAAAAAGACATTAAATAAGCAAAGCTTTAAAACAATTAAATAGATCTATATAGCGCTGTGCACATGGAATAAACAGTACAATCTATAAAAAAAATCACATAGGCATGAATGAAAATAAAAAAAAAACCATTCATCGATCCATACCTTGCAAAAGGCCCCAGGCACATAAATCTCACCACCACCATCACCATCATCACCGTCTTCCTCGGCATCATTATCATCATTACCAGACAGTGACGTCATCGCGGCTGACGTCATGATCCTTTCAACCACTCCATAGCTATTTCCTCTCAATGGCAAGTAACCGTTAAAAAAATCATCCTCATACAGTCTTACTTTGGTAAATAAATTACTGCCAGATGACGTCATCATTCTATTATTATTATTACTTTTATAATTATTATTATTGTTATTATTGTCGTCAATAGTAGTATTACTGTCCGATGATGATGGCGATGATGACGACGATAACTCAGGCGGTAATGATAATGATGTCGATGCGAAATGATGATGATGATGACGACGACTGGAGACTAGACTATCAAAATTCAACGCCAACACAATGTTAGCAATCTCAACTACACACAGCCAGACGCTATTTAAATGTAGGACAGGTGATGGGAACGACGATGACGATGAAGATGACGATGAAGATGATAATGAAGATGATGATGAAGAAGAAGAAGATGATGATGGAAGTAATGATTTCAATGGTTTAACGCATTTCCCAATATTCCTACCCATCCAATCATACCAGATTTTGATGTAAGAAAGGTAGGTGTTAATTAACGCCAGAGCGTTTTTGTTGTCGTCGACGATGACGTCATAATCGTTGCTGCTGTCGCTGCCGCTGCAGCTGCTGATGATGTCACAGTTTTTGCTGTTGTTGTTGGTTGTACTGTTGTCGACGTTGAAAAGGCTTTTGAAATAGTTTCTTGCATTAATTATGTTAATTTTGTTGTTGTTGATGATGTTGTTTTCGTTATTTTTGTTGCTTTTATTGTTGCTATTGTTGTTGCTGCTGCTGTTGTTGTTGTTGCAGAGTTTGTTGACAATGTTCAGAAAATAGTTGCAAATGATGACAAACATGTCCATGGCTAAGGCTACAGACAGCTCTTCCAGGTGTTCTAAAATGTTGTTGTTGTTGTTGTTGTTGTTAAGGTACATACTTACAAGCAAACACATACACATACACACACACACCACACACACATACAAACACATACATATACACACACGCACACACCTACATACAAACAAACATACAAACAAACATACACAGTACTAACTCACCGTTATCTTTGTAATTGTCAATGCTAAATATATTAACAGTTAGCAGTTTCATCAACTTTGTTGTCATCAGTGATAATTGTTGTTGCTGCAGCTGCTGCTGCTGTTGTTGTTGTTGTAGTCGAAGTCCTCTTTTCAACAGCAGAGAAAATTCTAGCAACATTTTTCTAGCGCTTTCTTCGTAAGCCTCCATACTAAAATAGAAATAGAATTATTCTTTTAAAAAGTTTTTTTGAAAAAATTGGCTTAAATTTATCTGAACCAGACGGGAACATTTTACCTAAATTTTAAAGTCAATCTCGATACAACCTCAGTTAAAGTGCATACAAACACCAGTAAGTGCATCAACAACAACAACAACGAAACCAAAACTAACAACAACAACAGCAGAAACAACAACAACAGCAACAACAACAACAACAACGACAACAACAACAACAGCTGCAGCAACAACAACATCTGCAGCAACAACAACATCATCCTGATTAACTCACCCTATCTTTGTGAACAGCTTTCCATGAACGTTCATAAAGTGCAGCGTGAAGGATCTGCTCAACTGCAATCATTATCATTACCTTCATCATCATCATCAGCATCATCATAACCACCATCGTCGTCGTCGTCATCATCGTCATCGTCATCAACGGTAGCATCATCATTATCAACATTTCAAAAAGATGAAAAAACCAAAAAAAATCTTTCTTACTCACCTGACAATTTTTTCTCTCGCCCTCACCCTCATCATCGTCATTATCATTTCCCTCTCCATCCACTTCATCATCCTCTTCTTCTTCATCCACTTTATCTTCCCTTCCATCCACGGACACCCAAATTTCGACCCTGCGACCTAGTGACTCTAATGACCTTTGATCGATCTTGACCTTCGAGTTGTTGTTGACCTTGCTGTTAAATTGCTGCTGCTGCAACCTCTGTTGCTGTTGTTCAGTCAGTTTAACCTTAATTGTGGTCATTAATTAATTAATTAATCAATCAATTAAATAATTACACTTAAAATTAACATCAACCAAGAAGTTTTTGTTATTAATAAGCACAATTAAATTAACCATCATTAACACTGGTTAATAGCTAATTAACATATATCTGGAAATCTCTTCAATATAATTTACTGGCCACCTCATTAGCAAAATCAGGCTAGCTCGTTAGCATAATCAGACTGGCCCGTTAGCATAATCAGGCTAGCTCATTAGCATAATTCGCCAATTGACCAGCTAGTTAAAATCCAGATTAAACACTGCTTCCATAGTTGGATAAATAAATTAATCAATTGAATAATTAATGGTTATTATAAATAATGAAAATTATATCAATAATATTAATGAGTAAGTATACCTTTACGAAAACGTTATGAAAGATGGTTTGAAGCTCCTGCCTAACCGAGCTGAACGGATTCCTGGACCCCAAGTTCCTGATATAGCAGTACACAGCATCTAAGTACTGCCTCTGTGGAATATATGGGGGAAAATTATAAATGAACCCTTTAACTTTTTCAATGTCCGTGTGTGTGTGTGTGTTTGTGTGTGTGTGTGTGTAACCATCAAAAAAACCACAAACGTTGTGCATAGATATGATAGCCAGTTGGTTATACGACTTTCCATACTTTGGTGAATATTCTATGGCCTTTGTGTACCACCTAATAACAAATTTATATATTTTTATCTAGATAAGCATACACATATATACACACATACATACATACAAACAAACAAACAAAAAAGCATACAAACATATATACATACATAACATGCCAAACAAATGAATGTGAAACACTAACATTATGGACTTGTCAAACTTATTAATACTGCTACCGTTACCATTCTTCTTATTATTGTTATTATTAGTGTTATTATTGTTGTTATTGTTGTTGAGGTGGTGGTTGTGTTGAATTTTGTATCTTTCAAGATCTCCCAAGAATATAGAAATTTTATGGCAAGCTAAACTGGCTACTGTTCGTAAGCGATCGTTAGTTTTTATTCTTTGGTTATTATTATTATTATTATTATTATTAGTAGTAGTAGTAGTAGTGGTAGTAGTAGTAGAAGTAGCAGCAGCAGCAGCAGCAGCAGCAGTAGCATGATTATCGTTGGCCCTTTGTGTGAACTTCTCAGCTATTGCCAGTAAAGATTCATAGTAGTTTATGCTCTGTGAATAAAAATTTAGTTAGCACTGTTATCAATCGTATATATATATATATATATTACTACTACTACTTCTACAACTACTACTTCTACTACTACTGCTGCTTCTGCCACTACTACTACTTCTACTGCTACTATTACTACTACTGCTGCTGCTGCTACTACTACTACTACTGCTACAATTACTCCTGCCGCTGCTACTACTACTACCACTGCTGCTACTACTACTACTGCTACAATTACTCCTGCCGCTGCTACTACTACCATTGCTGCTACTACTACTACTACTACTACTACTACTGCTGCTGCTGCTGCTACTACTACTACTCTACTACAACAATAACAATATTACTAACATTAATAACAACATTGTTGAGTAAGCTCAGTATCTGCACTCCGATACTATTACTATTACTGCTGCCATTATTATTATTATTATTATTATTATTATTATTATTATTATTATTGTTGTTGTTGTTGTTGTTGTTGTTACTACTACTGCAACTAGTGGCGGCCATCTTGAATAGCGCCTGGATGACGTCATAGTGGTTGGACTTCCATGTCTTATCCAGCATGCTAACCTTTATGCATGTGACCAGATCTCCGGAGATTAAACGCTGGAGGTGTAAGTTCACTTTTCGCCTGAATGTCGTGATGATGATGATGATGATGGTGACGAAGATAGTGATGGTGGTGACGAAGATGATGATAAAGATAGTGATGGTGATGACGATGATGATGATAGTAACTCAACAAGGATAATGATGATAATAATAATAACATTGACGGTAGACAGATAAACAGAAAGATTATAAATAACAAGATGATAACTGTCACCCAAGAAACCACCAAAGAATTCACAAACCTCAGTATAGATATCTCAGCCCAAATCTTTCCTCCAAAATCTCCTCCGACGTCATCGTCGTCGTCGTCACCATCATCATTGTAAATCATATTATAATTAGCACAGAAATAATTATAGTTATTATTATTATTATTATTGTTGTTGTTGTTGTTGTTGTTGCTGACGTAATTACTTTCAAAGTGCGACATTAACTTAGCAAGGGTGTCCATGAATTTCATCATTTCATGGTATGATGTGGCAAGCGACGACGACGATGATGCTGATGGTAATGATGCTGATGGTAATGATGCTGATAGTAACTTTAATGGTGACGGTGATGATGATAGTAACTTTAATGGCGGCGATGATGATGATGAGGATGAAGATTGCGCTGGAGGCAGTGCTGATGATGATCGCAACTGTTGCTGTTGTTGTTGTTGTTGGTGTGATGCACTCAAAGGCCTGTTTAGTTAATCGATTGAATTGAACATTTTTTTTATTTTGAATTAGTCAACAAATCAATAAATTCATTCACCCACCCATTCATTCATTCATTCAATAATTCACCTAATCACTCACTCGTTCACTCGCTCGTTCGTTCATTCAATCAATCATTCATTCCATAACAAGTCCGTCAATTCATTTGTCAATTTCTTAAATCATTCTCTCATCTACCCATGCATTCACTCATTCACTCACTCATTCATTCATTCATTCACTCACTCACCTCATTTTATTTTCATCAAACAAATCATTAGCCTTTATATTTTTGAAAAGCTTGTCATTTCCATTGTTAGAATTATTATTTATAGGAATATTGCCGTTACACTTTGGATATATTTGATCTTTTTCTGGGTCCCAAAGTCGGCGCAGACGACGACGACCCCGACCACTACTATCATCACCACCACCACCACCATCATCATCATAACTATCATCACGTGTGCTTTCACCATTATTATAACTACTTGCATCGTTAGTATTATAACTATAATAAGCTGTACCAGAATTAGTAGTAGTAGTAGTAGTAGAAGTAGAAGTAGTAGAAATTCTATTCATTCTTCCTGATGGTGATGATGATGCCGATGACGTTCTTGCTGATAATGATGATGACGGCAACGATAATGATGCCAGTAAATTTTGTGGGATTTTTATAAGGCCACCTTTCTTTACAACCGCTGCTGCTTCTGAAGTTGCTGCTGCTGCTGATGATGATGATACTGCAACTGATCTCGATGATGATGATGATGATGATAATGATTCTGCAGTAGTAGTAGTAGTTGAAGGCGGTAATGATAATGATGATTGTGGTACAAAATTTTCAAGTGACGTCATCGCTACTGGCGATTTTGTTACTGTCATTGGAGTTTTACTCGGATTTCTTTTTTTATTATTATTATTATTATTATTATTATTACTGGTATAATTATTCTTTTTATTATTTCTATTATAGTCGATGTTGTTGTTGTTGTTGCTATAAGGCACTCTCTTCGATGAAGTCGCAAATGTTGTTGTTGTTGTCGACGATGTTCTAGCGGCTGTCGACGTAAATGCTGCGGATGTTTTGGCCGTTGTCGTAGTCGCCACTGTGGCTGCTGCTACTGCTGCTGCTGCTGACAACGACGATGGTGGTCTGAATAAAGGTGATGATGAAGAAGACGACGGAGATGGTGATATCCTTTTGGCTCTTTGGGCAGAATATCTTTTACTCATCTTATTGAAATTAATATTACCACCATCATAACCATAATTATAATTATGGTCGCCAATGTTATGACCATAATTGCAATCATTATTACAATCATCATCATCATTATTATTATTATTATTATTATTATTATTATTATTATTATTGATATTACTATCATCATCGTCGTCGTCGACTTTAACAAAATGATGTGATTGGTTGGCATCCAAGTCAGCCATGTGGTCCCACTCGAAGTCGCAGTTATGCAAGAAGCCATAATCATCGCCACAGCTGCCACCTCCGCTAACACCATCACCACCAACATCATCGTCGTCGTTTTTATTTTTACAATTGATATTACGTCGATGCGTATTTCTTTTAGAATTTTTCTTGGGGCTGTGTTTTACAGTCTTATCAGAACTAGCATCATTATCATTACTCTTATTATTATTATTATTATTACAATTACTATTATCATTACTCTTATTATTAGTAGTAGTAGTAGCAGTGGTTGCAGTAGTAGGAGTGGCTTTCAAATCGACCCCATCGCCATCTTTATTGTCTGATTGTCGTTGTTGTTGTTGTAACTGTTTGGGTTTCTGCAGCTTTGTTTTGCCTGGCTGGTAGAAGCACTGGTCTGGCCTCTGATTTTTTTTCCTAACTTTAGGCAGAGGTCTTGGTACTTCATCCAGGGAATGAACTAATTTAATTTATTTAAAAATTTAGGTTTTAGTTTGGTTTTTAACAGTTAATATATATATATTCTTCAATTAATTAATGTTATTGATATTTTAATACCATTAACATGACATTAAAGATAAACATAGCATTGTCATATTGAATTTAAAATAGTATTAAATTTGGCTCAATGGGATGTGACTGGAAGAATATAACGTGATTGTAATGTTTTTAATTTTGGGAAAAATACATAGAAAAATACAAAAGTACACACACACACACACATATATATATATATATATATATAATAGCCATAAAATAATATAATATCATATATATATTGTCACAAATAATTTTGTAAAAATAGTCATTAAAGGAATAAATTAATTAAATTATATTAAAAAATTCTTTTATAGAAAATAGTAGTATAATAATGAAATTTACAATAAAAATTTTAACAAAAAAAAATTAAATAATCTTTTTTAAATAATTTTCTAATATTTTATTAAAAATAATAACTGTAATTCCTTGATTTGAATTAAAAATATTTAAAATTTAGTATAAAAAAATAAAGGAAAAGTAAAGTAAACCATTTGGACTTGGCTGTGTTGTTGAAGTTTTGTCATTTAGTTGAAGATTCTTCATGTTCTCCGTCAAATCAACTAAATCCGTGTGTCTCAACCTAACGACTTCTACATTTTCGACATTTTTAACATTAACGTTTGCCATTTTTTGAAGGCTCGAGTTCAAAATTTTGAAGAAATAGTCCGGCCAGTATATACATATAAAATAAATAAGTTCTTTTTGACACAGGTTTACTTTTTCCTTGCAAAGAGAATAAATAATAATGCAAGTTGCGCAATCACCAATAAAGAACTTTGAAGATTATTTGATTGTAAGTTCATCGAAATTACAAAATTTGGATAATTAAAACAATGTATTTTTTTATAAAAAATTTATTGTTGTAAAAATATATGAATTTTAAGCATGAACTTATAATTCAAGCAATTTAACGATTTATATCAAGTTTTGCAGGTTGTTTTCAGTTTACCAGTATTTAATAAATTTTTGTTAAATTAAAAATTTTAGTTTATTTACAAATTTTAATAAAATGATTGATTTATTTGGCAATTTTCTAATATCCATAAAAACAAAAGTTGGAACGTAAAACGTCACTGGCTACTTAATAAGTTCTTTGTTTAGATTTAATTTCTCTCTTTATTATCGGCTTGAATTTGAATTGATATCTACTTAGTTCCTTATAAATATCGCCCAATTTATGAAAAATCGGATTTCACAGATTAGTTCTCATTAGATTGTGTTATGTAAATTTGTCTTCAATCGAATTTTTATTTGACGAATTTGAAAAATTTTGATTATAATATGGACCCAATTGGACAAGAATCTTCACCTATCACTAATTTGCCTGAATTATCGTCTGGACCTCTCGAATCGGCAGTCAAACAGATGGAAAGTGCCCCCAGTGAAGATAATCTAGAGATTGCTAACGTTTCTGGTTTGTTCTCTTTTTTACATTTTACACATTAATGTATTAAAACTAAATAGTATATGAGAGATAGAAACAAAACCACAAACAAATCATTTCATAATTTTATTAATTATTATAATTATGAAAATCAAGTTTACTCTCAATGAATATAAATTATAAATATAGAGATAACTTTAATAATAAATCATGAACTGTACACTGACACAAACCAGCCTAAACACTGGCTAACCTATATATAATATACCTAACTTCTAAAACTAAACTAACTGTCATAACCAACCCGACACGCAGATCAGATATCAAAGAAACAACTAAACAAGAACATGATCATCATGAAAGTCCTGCCTGGGGGAAGCATCGTTTACGAGCGAACCGAGAGCGGAGAAATCGTGGCCAGCATCGTGAGAAACAACAACAACAATAATAATAATAATGGGGTTGAAGATGTTGGGATTAACAGTAATGTTAGTTTTGTTATCGTTTTTGATGATGCAACTGTATTATTATTATTATTATTATTATTATTATTATTATTATTATTATTATTATTATTATTATTATTGGTATTATTATTATTATTATTTAGGATAGTGCAGAGTTAGAAAATTACATCAAACAATCAGCTAAGAAGGCATTGCAACAGCAACAACAAGCTATGAACAATAAAAAAAAAAAGATACAACAACAACAACAATTGTTGCTAAAGGCTTCTGATGGTTATTACCTTTTGCCTTTGTATTATTCTTGTATGTTTAAATTTGAGGTATTAAGATTTTTTAATAAGTTTTATTTGGTGAATAACATTTAATTTAATTTAATGTAGAGAATGGAAAATATTTTCTGTTTATCTTGTTATACGAATTTACCAACAACACTCACACACACAAACACATTCTCACACAGATGTATATGTATATTTATGTATCCATGTGTGTGCTTATGTATCTTTTTATCTATGTTTAATTTCATGTGTATAGTGTTAAAGGCGCTGGAACTCCTAATAAATGTATTTGTTTAATATATATTTAATGTATACACCAAATGAAGATCAAATGAAGAAAAAGCGTAAAAAGCGCATCCCTAATTCTGTGGAAGGCCCCAGCAGGCCGGGTCTAACCTGCCCGATCAATGATAGGAATGTTGAAAATGTTCTCGACCGGACTCTGCTCGTCACTGAATCCCTGCAGCAGGTTTTGAATAATTTCAAGGAGGACCTTAAAAGAGTCGGGGGTAGTTCCACTGCCGAGTCTAAACCTGTTAGTTTGATTGTTTGTTTGTTTGTTTGTGTGTGTGTGTGTTTGCTTGTGTGTGTATGTATGTATATCCGTTGTTTATTTCAAAATAGATTTGTGCCCCTTTGGTATGTCTGTTTCATTATGTTTTTACCTCAATATATGTTGTCGGTTGATGTATTTGCACCAGCACCAGCAAGTTCTGGTTATTTTATTTTGGTAAAATTACTGAACAGTACCTCCCAATAAACAAACACCCACCACAATTAGGTAGGCATAAAGAAAAGGATCGAGATTGCTGACAAACTGACCAATGCCTACGTGGACTATCAGCAGGCCATCGATGACATCGGAGAGCTCGGAAGGGGCTACCTAATAGCCGACGAGGAAGACGACGACGAAGAGGATGATGGAGATGAAGATGAGGTCGACGAAGAGGGTGTGGATGATGACGACGTTGATGACGACGACGACGTAGCTGCTGTCCAGGCGAGTTCTAATTACGGCGGTGGCGGCGGTATTCAAATAGAGGATGACGTCATAGATGAGGATGAGGAGGAGATTAGAAAATTTATTAGAAAAAATTATCTCAAAAATTCAAAAAAAGTCAACAGCGGCAATAGCGGCAAGAAAAAAGTTCAAAACCTGAAACGAGTGGCTGGCACGAACGATGAGGATGATGAGGAGGAGGAAGTCGACGAACTGGAAAACTATGCTAGGCGAAGAGTTGGTGGCGTGAAAATTGAAGGGGGCCAGCCACAAGTTTCGAAGGGCCGTCGTAAACGCCAGAGGGGCCCGGACGACGAAGATGAAGATTTTGATGAGGTTGCATTGAAAAAGCAAATCTACCAGACAAAAAAATCTAAAAAACCGCCACAACTGCAACAACAACAACAACAACAAAAGTCTAAAGAAAGGCCTGATACTTTTAGTAATAAAAAACAAAAAAAAGCCATCAACACCAACAACAACAATAGCAGCATGCAGAATTTGAACAACAATAGCATCAACAACAGCAGCAGCAGTAGTACCAACAAATTTCATGATTCAACGCCCAAAGCATCGACGTCATCAAAAGCAACAGTGACGTCATCATCGGCATCGACAACAACAAAATTATCTCCATCATCCTCCCACCACTTGAATGATTACTACGCCAGTAAGAAATCCTGGACGGAAGTGGACACGGACGGCTTTGGTCAGGAGAAATCCAAAGACACTAAATTTTGGTACGATAGTGTTAACGTCAAGCATGAGGATACGACAAATGTTTCAGATGACTTGTGGATGTCTTGCGAGCCGGGCTCTGATGATGAGGTCCTCTATAATGTCGGATTCCCCAAAATTAGTCAAAAACGGAAATGATAAATTCATGTTTTAACTGGGTATTGATCATTATATGAATATATATATAAGTATGTATACGTATATATATATAATTTATAAATAAATAAATATATATATATATAATATATATATATGATAAATAAATTGATAGACAGACATACCGTGTTGTTTGTTCATTACAATTTATTGTCTTTGTTCGTTTTTTTTTCCTCAATACAACTTTTTTAATTATTATTTCTCTGTTATTTAATTTCTTATTTTGGTTCATTTTTAGCAGCCTTTTTTTTTGTTAAAAAATTTTTTACTCTTTCAGATTATAATTGTAAAATTAGGTTCGGTTTTTGGCTAGTGTTAGATGAAATAATATAACAATAATAATTATATAATAATAATAACATTGTCATTATTATTATTATTATTATTACACGTAACTGCTCTTATCAATAACAATAATTAATATTCATTAACATGTTGGAACTGTTGCATCAATGAACGATGTTTTGTGACGGGTGATTGACATTTGATTAAAATGTGTGTGTGTGTTTGTGACTTCGTTTGTTTATTATTTAATTATAAATAATTCATTTTTTTAATTGATTAATTAATATTAAACGTAATTATTCATTAATGTACCTAAATCAACTGAAACGTTGGAGGTACACTGATGATAATTATAGAGGAAGAACTTTGTATGTTGGTGTAATATTGCTATGATAATAAAATTTGCGTTAATCCGGCAATATTATCTCATTATGATAGTTCAATTCTTATTTAATTTTATATATTTGGCGTCAACCAAATCGTTACTATAGTTCAATTTTTCTCATGTATTCTCTTAATTTTCCACAAAACGCGTATTTTCAACTTTTAATTTCAGCTAACTTTTACTCAACAGGTTCTCGTTGCCGTAGCAACAATCTTTAATAAACAGTCTTCAAGTTTTCGAAAGAATTTGTAATTTAGATGCATAGTTATTATTTGTAGTAATATTACATATAATAATCATAGCAGTAGTAAAATGTCGGTAATTCAATGTACGAATTCTACAGTGTCATTTGGCAGCAATTGTGAAAGGTATGTCATAGTACTACATAGTAATAACAATTTTACCCCTTAACAACCCTCTAACATCTAACTAACTAACGTCTCTAATCTAACCTCAAACGCCTAACCTAACCTAAACGTAAGATCATGGTGCTATTGGGGCCCAACACCAGCACCATACTTTGTATTAATTTTTGTATTAACCAATACTTTATATCAGCTATTCAATATTATGTTTTTACCATACATGTTTCATAATCTATTTCAATCGTAATTATTTGCTTATTTAGTATTTTATAAATAAAGTTATTTTTTTCCAGATTTACCCCAAAAGGACTTCACCCTAACCTTTTAAAGACGTCAACTTCATTTTTATTTCAACATAATCTCAATGTCAGTTATTATTGTCGTTGTTGGTATTACTATTAGTAGTAATACTGCTACTACTACTGCTTTTTCTACTCGCTACTTTTAGCAGCGGCAGTTGTAGCAGTAATAACTGTAGTATTAGTAGTAGTAGTAGCAGTCGTTGTAGTAGTAAAAGTTCTAGTGAAATTATTGATACTAATTCCTTCTTACTTTACCATTACAATTGTAAAGAACTTGAAAATTTTAAAGTCTTCTCAAGGCAATCCCGGACCAGGCCATTATGATTGTGACGGAGGTGGCGATTTTAGTGAGAAGTCAATCCGCGAAAGACTAAAAATAGGCAAAGATTCTTGGAAAAAACAGTTGCAACTGGAAACTTGGTCATCGAAACCACATTACATGCATAAAGCTCAATGGCTGAAGAACAAATCGCTGGTTATTGGCTTCTTGTTGTCGCGGTTTTATTAATATTATTTCTACTACTAGTAGTAGTAGTAGTTGTTGTTGTTGTAGTTGTAGTAGTAGTAATGGTTATGTACTATAACTCTTTGTTTTCATTATCGAAATTATTTTATAATAATAGTATGAATTATTATTCAGCCAAAAAAGTTGGGTCCCGGGACATATTTTAAAGACGATTCGTTCCTCAAATCGTCGGCAGATGCCAGAGCAAAAACAAATTTTTCCAAACACGGAATGCTAGGAATGAAGGAAGAAAGATTTAATAAAGGAATGCAACCAAAGGTTCTCATTTTATTATTTCAAAACTTTACTTGATTGCATATCAAAATTTTTTTGCAAAAGAGCGAACTTTAGAAGGTTTCTTCGATTGTGTTTTATTAACAGTCTTATAATAAACCAACCAATTAATTATTGATCGATTGTTTGATTTTGAAGATTGGTTGATTGATTGTGACTGGTTGATTGATTGATCTTTTTGACTGATCGATTCATTCTATTGTTTCATTAATTGAGCGGACGGTAGATTAATTGGTGAGTTTCTTGCTCGTTGTTTATTTGTTGAGGGCTGGTTGGTTGGTTATTTGGTTGATTGATTGATTGATTGATTGATTGATTGATTGATTGATTGATTGATTGATCCATAATTTCCTTCACAAAGAGTGACGCTCCAGGTCCAGGGTGGTACGGAGTCATAGGATTAGAGGATAAAAATAAAAAATCTTTCAGTGTTTTTGGTACCTTCACGAGGGCCTCGACGGATGGGGATTTAAAAAAACTGACCAATCAAACGCCAGGACCTGGCTCCTATGACGTCACAGGAAGTATTCAGCATCTGCTAGATAAAAAAGTAAATAAGACAAGCTCTTATGATCGAAAGAAGTATCAAACGCCATCTGTTATTAAGAAACCAATAGCGGTGGTTAATTTTTTTTCCCAATATAATTTTTTGTTATATTAAATATTCTTTCCCTAATAATCAGATCTCGCCACTGGGACCAGGATGCTATGATGTGAAAACCAGTGGCGACAATAAATTAAATTGTAACAACTTCGGCAAGTTCAGCCAGTTAGGTAGAGATGACGTAAGAGGATTGCCAAGTAAAATTAACGTGAGTGAAAGTTATCTATCGCTAAATTCAAATAGTTCGTTTCGTATGTGTGTATGTATGTATTTATGAATGTATATGTATGTATGTATGTATGTATGTATGTATGCAAGCAAGCATGCATGCATACATGCATGTATATATGTGTGTATGTGCGAGCCAGTATGTATGCATTCCCTATTTTTTAACTCATTCTCGCTTTTTCCCTCCCATTCTCTTTCCCATTTTCAAAATTTTTGAACACAAAAAACACATTTTTTTAAAAATGCAGATTGACTTTCGTATGGGCGTCCCTATGCTTATTTCTAGTCTTGAGATCCGCTCTGAACTTCGCAAACGATTTAGAAGTTTTCAGAGAAGGAGGTAGAGAGTCCCACAGAAAAGGGCCAGAAAAAGCAAAGGCAGATTAAGCAAAGAGTGTTTAGCACGAGTTAACAAGAAGTGAGAACAAGAAGACGATCGTAAACCGGGGCGTTTTATATATCTGATAAATACTTAGGAAAGAATTTAGATTGAATAAGAAACCATGGGATTTCCGCGATTCCTGTTCCCATGCTCACCTCTAGTTCACACTGCCATGATCATTTCTTCAAACGTTTGATTTCTATTGAGCTGTTTTCGAGGTGTTTAAGGACGTTTTCCAATATTTTCACATTTTACGGGGATCACTGCAGAACACAGCAGGGCGATTTGCTGTAATCAAAAATAAGAAAAGATTCTAAAATTACATAAGTTTACTTTTATTCTTTCACTCAGTCCCTTCCAGGGCCTGGTCACTATGACGTCATCACACCTACCGCTACTCGTACGACGGGGGTGAAAAATAATTCGGTACCATTCTTAACGTCATCTGTCAGAAATGGCGGATCGTCGTTTCTTTCTGGGAATTATAATAATGTTAGTTTTTTTTGTTCGTTTCAATTTCTGATAATACTGATCTTTGGATTGAAAGATGAATTAAAATGTAAATTCATGCTATTATTTTATGTTTTCAATGTGTTCTTTAATGATTTTTCCTTGTAACTGTTGATATTCAACGTGTAGAACTCTGTTGGGCCAGGTCGATATAATCATCAAAAATTCAAAATGAAATCAGAAAATGGGCATGAAAGCTGCTTCCGATCAAATATCACCATCCCTGAGCACGAAGCTGCCGAGCTGATGAAGTAAATTGTCACAATTATTTTAATAATTTAATATTTGCACACCAGTGAACCGACAATTTTAATGTTATCGCATTATTCTTGCGATTTTATTCGTTTTAATCTATTTATTTGTATATTTTAATAATATTTTTATCGTAATTTTGGATAATTTTTTCTAGGGAAAGGTTAAGAATAAGACCAAATGCTTTTCCACAATCCATTCTTCCTTCAAGAGCCAAACCACAGATCTTTGTTGGATCGAGTTTCCCCGAAAAAGGAATTATTCGCTGATTGGTTTTTAAAATTATTTGTGAAATAAAATGTCAGTTCTCGTTTGAAATTCTTCAAATTCGAATTTTATTAGACTGCTACTAAGGTTTAAAAATTTTAAGGTTTAAGGTTTCAACTCGTTTTTTAAATAAATTGAGCGCTTCGATATATTCAAGTTATTACTTGATTTAACATTTTGTACAGTTGCATAATTTATTTAATTGAAGAAATTGTTTCACTAATCGGTCGCCACTAATTCAAAGTTAGTTCATTGTTTGGATAATTATTAAATTATTATTAATATTATTGCTGTTATAGAAGTTTGTGATTTTATTTCATACCTTTTGCAATCATAAAAATACACTACTGTCTCTCTAGCCTAGCAGAGCAGAAAGCCATTAAAAATTTAAAATCCATAATTATAATTTTGTCTTTTTGAGGTTTGTTTTCGTCTTGACTGACATATTTCTCATTTCGTTCACAAAGAAAATTAAAGAAAGTGATGTAAAGATCAAATATTATTTATTTTTATTTTTGGTTTTAGTTTATTATTTATTTAAAATTAAATTGTTATTGAATATTTTGTGCCACTATTTTTACTTATTTTTTATATTCTATATATAATTATATATATTCATATTGGTTGCTTATTAGGTGGGTGTTTGTGTGTGTGTTTAGTGTGAAGCTCATCCCTTCTATTCTATTCTAGTGCCTAATCTATCAAGATAATGATTCCTCTAAGTAATTAATAAACTATTCTATAAGTATAATCTATATATAATAGCTTATTAAGTTAATGTTCTAATTCTAACTAATAGAGTTATACACACCACAGCATAGTGTATATGTTACTCAATGATGTTTAGGCACTATGGTGTATTTGGCATGTACCATGTGTATCGT